ACATACAAAGTAAACATCCCCACCCCATCCTTGCCTTTCCTCGCCAGACACAAACAGATACACTTCCAATTTGCTAACCAATGTACACATGCACGTCGTGCATGCACATCAAGATACGTGAGGTTTTGATGGATCCATGCTCAATCTTTGGTAATATTAAAAATTTCATTGATTGGATGTATACGTGTAACACTGACTGATTTATAATAGACATATCAATCAAAGTTAAGTGAATAATTATAAATATTCAATAAAGATGTAAGAAACAGAGTTAGAAAAAAAAAGATACATTAAGATTGAGTATTGTCCGTAAAAGCCGCAACGTTTGCCTCATTGTCAAAGTTCTGTCTTTCTATTTTGTAAAAAAAAAAAAAAAAAAAAAGGAGAGTTTCCCCATGGTTATATGTTTTAATCAATTTTGTGATGTTTTTCGTTGAACCTAATCCAAAAAAAATTATATTTTGTTTTATTACATTTTGTTTTATTACATTTTGCAAAAATTAAATAACGATAAATGTAACAACGAAAAAAGTACGTTATTACATTTTGCGTTAGTCCCAACTCAAAATGTAATAACGCAAATGTAATAATCTAAAAATTTTGTTATTACATTGTGCGTTATTACATAATGCGTTGATCTCGACGCAAATTTTAATAACGCAAAATGTAATAATCCCTGTTTATTACATTTTGCGTTGTTATTATATTTTTAACAGCGCGTGTACCTCTAAGAAGACCCAAAACTATTTCAAATCAGATTTTAGATGTACTTAAAAAGACACAAATTTGGCAATACATGCTTCTTTTCATACATGAATACCCGTGCCTATCTGAAAAGATAACAGAATGTTATTGAATACTTTTAAAACAGGAAATTTTAAAGTGCATCTCTTTATCTTTTGTATCTTTAGCTTCGTATATTATTTTGCAAGTTTAAAGCCTGCTATATATTTATCGATACATAATTAATTATGTGAAATTATCCAATGAAATAATTATTTGAGATAACGAATTTGCTCTGTGTCATCCATCGTAGTAAAGAACATTCTTAACAGCTCCTGAATGTCAAATAAGGTTCGATGGATTTCGTATGTATTTGAGGAAACATACACCGGATTGTGAATTTTAACCATGTTTGAACTCAACACTTTACCAATAGTAGTTAAACAATTAAGCTGTCGATATTTGTGAAACAATATCACTCATCCTTTGAAAATTCTGCCATTAATTAAACCTTGTTTCTAAAGCTATTTTGTCGATGGTTTTTTATTATAACATTGTGAAGAAGAGAACAGAGATGGCATGATATGATGTCATCCTGTGATCTGGGTATTGCTTACCGTGGGTACTTGTTTTGTATTTTAAGATAAGCTCTAATCATTTCTGTATAACCCTTACGCGTTTTAGTCAGTTTATACTTAGTCTTAACTCACCTGCTTATACATTTCCATGGAAACAATGATTCCAAAGCAACATCTCCTTAAACAAACTATTTTTCTACTATTAAGAAAGAACAAGAGACTGAAATGATTACAGTACTTTGCTCAAAGTCAGTCCGATATCATGAACTCAGATACATATGTAGAATCAATGTGAACCGACATTTAAGGTTGAAATTATAAACTAAATACATTTTCTTACCTAGAAACACTAATTGGGCACAATGTTAACAAACAGGTATTGCCCCTTTCCTCTAACATGTTTGTTTTATCGGATATTTTTTGTGTGAAACGATTAGCTTGAGAAATACAAATTATGAAAAAGAAATGTCCATCAAGCTCCAAACATATCGGGGGTTGCAGGGATTGCAGAAAGGGGGGGGGGGGCGTTCCAGTGCATAAGTACCTGTGATATAAATTTTAACAGAATTTCAGTATTCTTTGTTCTACTCAAAGGTATAAGGTATTAGGATTTCTTCTGTCAATCTCTCTCTTTACCCTTCTTTTTTTATTTCCTGGTTGATTATCTAGTTGATCGAACATTAACTTTAGTGTGAGTTTTCCGGATGTAACTTTTCTATGTTGCTGGCTAACAATCGTCCTTGACAAAAATAAAATGTACTGTAATTCAATGTTCATCTCTATTTGTCGATCAATTTTTTTCTTAAGATTCCCTTCTATGTATCCATTTGAAATTTATTTGTAATCCTAATCTTGTATAGATATTCCCTCCAGAATTGGGAGTCTAACCTATTCTTGAATACTTTTCAGTAGATAGATGTTCCATTTTCCATTAAGAAATGAGTTTAAATATATGATATAATGAAAAGCAATATCCACATGTACGTTGCGCGACTATCTTTTCATTTATGATGAAAAAAGAATGTTAAAAAACATGAAAAGTGGTATGGTTTCGGAAATAATAATTTTCTTTATCAAACTTCAATTATTGTATCATTTAATTGCCTTTGTTTTCTTGCAGACTCGAAGTACCCAAGAGATTATTAAGTGTTTCCATATTGTATACTTATGCAGCAAACCAGTTTGTTTAACGCCTTTTAATTCCCACACCTTCAAATCTAATTTCCTTTGCATTTGATTGGTTTTTATGTGTATCGAGGATTACATTTATATTTTTCAGAAACGATGTAGTGTAAAATACATGAGCATATCAATTGTTCAAAAAGGTGCTTTCGTGCCATTTCATTGGTTACCTCTGCGCCACGCCTTAAAACATGGGTATTTAAATATGTTTACGTGAAATTAAAGTATTTCATTCTGCTTTGGGTAAGTGAATTTTTATTTAGTAAACTCTTTATTAACAAACACTTTTTACTAATAACAATAGCAATCAGTCGCTAGACGATAGATATATATTGTTCTAAGTTTACCTTTTTGTCATGCATGGCTACAGAAGTTGACAAAACTTTGTTCATTACAGCTTGTAACCCCCCCCCCCCCCAAAAAAAAAAATAATAATAATAATAAGGGAAGCATAATTTGGCAAAAAGAGATCTTCATCATATTTAAATCTTTATTGAGCCTACACATAAGACATACAGACCAAATTGACTACATAGTTGAGGACATTCAAATTTTATAATACTTACATGTATGCTTTAAAGAAATTCCTTGGAATGTATCTAAAAATAGATCAATACCGTATCTACACATGGCGTAAATATAAATCAATATATCAAAATATAAAAGCTCAGTATAGGTAAATAACCAAACTTATTCGTAAATTGTAGAAAATCAATCAAAATAGTTGACCTTGATTATCAAGCAATATTATTCAATTATTATAGTTATCATAGTTGTAATGGTAACACTACTGAGCTACATTCGATTTGTGGAATTGTTTCGATTAATAGTGCCGTATCATTAATTAATAAAATGACTTGGAGAAAGACGTGGAGAAAATAACTTTAAGGGAAAACCATGGTGTTTTGCTTTCAGTTTCGCTTGGTGTTATTCAATGTTCGATACCCCCTTTTCTCAGCCATCGAGCTCAACACTGTCACTTTACTAGTATTTTTTTTTATCACTTTTCCTGCATTTTGTAAGGAACCTTACTAGCAGTAAAGGAACAGCGCGTTAGACCACTAGAATCACTTATGCCAGTTATGTTAGTTTCAGAGTTGTTGTAAAATGTGCTTTATAAATAAAGAGTACTTTCATTAGAATGTGTATCGGCAACGATCCTCCAATAAATCTTATGTCCAAATAACTGTATCTCTCTTCCATTCTCAATGACCGTGCAGTGTGGGCGGCGCCGCGAGAATTCCCTCGGTATCTAAAGAGAGTTTTTAGATTTGCCTATATATATGGCCGATCGGTCTTGCACTCTGTTCTTGTACTGCTAGGAGTAGGTTCAGTAGGTCGAGAGTTCAACCCCGGATTGGGGCGGAAGTAGGTATCCTTATAAAATTTAATTTCTTTGTGCTTTCTGTATTGATATTTCTTCACTTAGGGCAGTTATGTTAGTTTAAAAGCTCTTGTAATATGTGCTTTATAAAAAAAAAAATCATTACATTGGGTATCGGCAACGATCCTCTGATAAAACCAATGTCGAAATAACTTTATCTCACTTCCAATATCAATGACCCTGTAGTGTAGGGCGGCTCCGGGAGAATTCCATCGGCATCGAAAGCAAATTTTTAGACTTGCCTAAATGGCCGAGCGGTCTAGCGAGCTGTTCCTGTACTGCTAGGAGACTGGTTCGGTTGGTTGAGAGTTCGAACCCGGCTTGGGCGGAAATGGGTATCCTTATAAAAATGATTTTCTTTGTGCTTTCTCTCTCTCTCTCTCTCTCTCTCTCTCTCTCTCTCTCTCTATATATATATATATATATATATATACAATATATATATATATATATATATATATATATATATATATATATATATATATATATATATATATATATATATATATATATATATATATATATATATATATATATATATATATATATATATATATATATATATTTATATATATATATTCAATAAAATGTTTTCCTTCCTATAGGTACAAAATAAAATCCAAATTTAAATGAAAAACTCAAAGTTTAATCTATAGCGCTTTCGCTTGAGCCCGCCAGTGCGGGGCGAAAGCGCTATAGATTTAAGTTTGAGTTTTTCATTTAAATTTGGTTTTTACATATATATATATATATATATATATATATATATATATATATATATATATATATATATATACGTTGATAAGTTAAATTCTTGGTGCAGTAAAAAATACTTAAATAAATGAAAACAGAATGCTACAGTCCAAATTAAATAAAATCTTTACTGTTAGCGCTTTCAGCCATGTTGGCTCTTCAGACAGTTATAAAAAGTTCAACTTTTCATAACTGTCTGAAGAGCCAACATGGCTGAAAGCGCTAACAGTAAAGATTTTATTTAATTTGGACTGTAGCATTCTGTTTTCATTTATATATATATATATATATATATATATATATATATATATATATATATATATATATATATATATATATATATATATATCGATAGATAGATAGATAGATATAATTTAAATTTTAGAGCATTGAAACTTTCACAGAGGATAAAAGAAGAATATGAAGATACAAGGATGGGATATGTCAGTACCTTCTGACTTTTTGGTTTGCAAAACATGATAGTAACGATTGCGAGATTTACATAAACTCATTTGTTGAAGATCTTTTTAAATATCCGATGAGCTACATCATGGTTGTAAATTCATTTGATGCGCACAATAAATTATAAAGAAATCTTTGTTATCACTTTTTTTTTGTAATTTACGCACGTATCATTCGAGTGAAAGACTGTAAAATGTTGAAGGCAAGTTCGAGGCTCTGAAAATTCTATTATTATTATTATTAATCAAATGATTAAAGAGTACAAAAATTATTCTAGCAATACTCTTTACTTTTTTATTTTTTCAGAGATGCCTTCGATTAAAAACAACTTTAATCTAATTAATACTTTTTTTCCCTAAAAGAAGATACATTTAATTGAAATAAAGGGTAAAAAACAGTTTACGAAACTATAAATTACGCTTTATAACCATTACTTCATTGTTGAGTTCAACAATTGATTATTTGAACTGACGGGAGCAAAAATTGATTCGATGGGATCATGGCATTAATTTAACTGTTGTTATCTTTAGATCAGTTCATGTACGTATCAAATCATTTGATCAGAAAATAAGTTAATTCTCTGCAATCACTGATCAAATTAATGTTATCTTTAAATAATTTAAGAAATCAATTATTTGAGTTTTTGTTAATTAATCCCTACCTAAAATTTATCTTGATTACATTTGATTGAATAGATCAGTCTAAAACATATTGGAAATCAAATAGATGTTGGTCAGAACATTACCTTTAGAGTGAAATATAACAAGAAAGGAAATGATAAACCAGGGTAAGTTCTCTCTCTCTTTCTCTCGTTATCAATTTATCAATTTATATTACTAATTTATTTTTTAGAGGAATGGCCATAAATTTTAGACAACGAATGGGCGAAGGGAACGATATCATTCTGCATTTCAATCCAATTGCAAGACATCCGTCATATCAAATAGTTTTGAACTCTTTCGTTAATGGAATATGGCAAAAAGAAGTTTCCACTGGTGCAAATCCGGCGGTATTTTCAGATGAGTTTACGTTATCATTGGACATCAAAGATACAAGAACTGTCTTGGTTAGAGTCCAAGGCGGAATACTGACGACTTATACCTGCCCCGTAGATATAACCGATACAGAATTCATAGGGTTCTCTCCTGATTACAGGATTACTGAGGAAAATTGACAATTGACAAACTTGTAGTTATTAAGAAAGTTAAAGATGAAAACTTAAATCATTGAGTTTTAACGAAACATTATACAAATTGTGATTTTACTTCCTGAAAATTGATCCTCATTTTCTGAAGAAAAAAAAATGAATTATCTCCAAATAAAATTTGTATTTCAAACTTCTTATGTGTTTTCAACGAACATGCAAAAATATCAAATAATTCGGTTTAACCTTATTAATTAGAAAAAAAAGAATTTTGATTGGTTTGATTGACATACACAAGCAGATGACGTTCATTGTTACCAACAACGAAATTTCCCTAATCTTTGTACAGGTTTATCTGGTTATTATTATGTTTATATTAACTTTTTAATTACAAGAAAACATAACATGGCCTGGATATCGAATATCGGAAACATAATCCTCCATCGTGTTCATGTTCTTCTTCACCCTATAACTATTGTCCTGCTGGACACGTTATTACTGGTGACGTAAATACAGTGCCCACTGTCCAATCCGACAACTGTGCAATCCGGCACACTGGACTTTCCGACCTCATATTTTATTCCCAAAAATTTCTTTATAATTTATGTATAATAAAAACTGTATATTCCGACCACTGTACATTCCGAATTCCGGTGCTTTTTTGTCAACGAAAGTAGATAATTACATTAAATTTCACCTGGGTAATCCGACATAATTACTTGGGTGTACCGTAATTAGCCGCAGGCCAGGTAACATGAAATTTTCCCTTTGGTCACAAGAGAGTAGATAATTACATGAACGAGTTTGAAAGTGTTTATGAAAGCAATAAATGAACAGTTTTTGAATTTAAAAATTAGGCAATCAATTCTCTTTGTTGTTATCAAAACAGCATCCACGCAACAGAAAATAAAGAATATACATGATATCGATATCGCCTTTACCTTACAGAATAAATACGCAGTCAGACTCTTAATAAGGCCATGCCGGGAAAAAAAATTAGTACGGGAAACTTTTGTATAATATGCAGACAATACACGATTTGAAGGCTACATCTTTTCTGATAGAAAACGTTTATTTTCCGGGTTAATATACATTGAATTAAGCGAGACTGTGTACATGAAAGATTTGCATGGAACAAAAAATACCACTTTAAGTTGCCCATTAAATTTAAAATATTACGTCTGTTTGATTTAAATTCAATCGAAATCACAATGTTTTAGAGTTACGTCCCGTTTGTATGAAAAGTCGCGTGACGGTATTAATAGCACAGGCTATGATAAGAAGTAAACAATGGAGAAAAAATCGAAAAAAAATGTGAAGTGTAGAAAAAAATACCACTGTGCAGAAAAGGTAGACGAAATATTTTCTTAAATATCTACGGACAGTGAGTAAAATGCTAAAAATTAAATTTTAACATCGGGATCGGCACTTCCATCTATTTAAAAAATTGTCGTATATTACAACATAGTTTACTAGTTAATGTTAACAAAACGCTTAATAATTTTTCTCAAAGAAACTTTTCAGCTGAAGGTATTTGTATACAACAAAGAAACACACAATTATGCAAACACTTTGACAATTAAATACTCGTGCATTCTAAACCTAATGAATTTTTTTTGGTATGAAGTCATCTGACACTTATCATAATGCTCAGAAATATTCCACACTGGGTAATCCGACACACTGTCTAATCCGACATTGATTTTATTTCCCGCAGCATGTCGGATAAGACAGGTTTCACTGTATAGTTAATAATAAGAACCTTAGATCACTAATTTTAAAAGGTCCTAAATATAGGGAACCCCGATCCTTCAACTGGCGTCGGAATTTCATAAATATAAAGGATTCTGTAGAGGACCACGCCAGGCCATGGGCCAGACATGAAAAAGAAGACACTGACACTTTGTCAGAATGGATTAAATGTATCAGATGTATGTTAAAATCGCGCATTAAAAGATTATGAGGCAATATGCGAACCATCTAACCTTCTGTATTCAATAATCCGGAGGTGAAAAAAGAATTAGATAGATTACATGATCAGTACATACTGGTCCCTGCTGACAAAGCAGGTAACAACATTGTCTTTGTTTGTAAGGCTCATTATATTAAATGAATTTTAGAGGAACTTGGATTTAATTCTACAAGAGGTAATCCAACCTATACTCATAGTTCCCTTTAAAGGAAGAAATTCTTCAACATCATATGTCAGTTTTGAATATTTTTAATATTCCAAACAACCAAAATGAATTTGAATTACCATATTTATTTTGGATTCCAAAACTTCATAAAAATCCTTACAAACAGAGATACATAGCGGGTTCCAGTAAATGTTCAACCAAGCCTCTTTCTTTACTCCTCACTAAGATATTAACAGTAGTGAAGGAGAAACTTCAAGATAACTGTGCAACAATTTATTCGAGAAGTGGTGTAAATCAGATGTGGATACTTAAAAACTCCAAGGAACCTTTGGAAAATTTGAAATCACAGGATTTTACCAAAATCAACAGCTTAAAAACTTACGGCTTTTCAACTTTATACACAACCATTCCCCATGATAAATTAAAGTCCAATAATGGAACTTATAAATTTACTTCCCTTGTCATTGGTCATTTGCAAAATTATTTTGTTTAAAAAACATTCTGATTGTACACACAAGTACTCTGAAGTTGACATTAAAGAGATGCTTGAGTTTCAGATTGACAATATCTATGTGGTTTTTGGAGACCAGGTCTTCCAACAATCTATTGGAATTCCCATGGGTACCGATTGCGCCCCGTTATTATTGACGTATTGTCAATTAACAATGGCTATTTCCTTTCTTATGTCGATAAGATATATCTTGGTGAGCTTGAGATAAAGGATACTGACATATCTGTTTCATATTTGGATATTTTACTTGAAAAAGACGTTAATGGTAATCTAACAACCAAGCTTTATGATAAACGTGATGACTAACTATCCAATCGTCAACTTCCCTTACTTATGCAGCAATATACCTTCATCACCTGCATACGGGGTATATATTTCTCAGTTGATTCGATACGCAAGAGCATGCTCTACGTATGTACAATTTCTAAAACGAGGTAAATTACTGACAAACAAGTTGATGAAACAAGAATATCAGCTGTCTCGTTTAAAGTCATCATTTCGTAAGTTCTATGGTCGATACAATGACCTTGTCAGCAAATACAATTTATCATTGAGTCAAATCCTGGCTGACCTTTTTCATACCAATTGTTAGACCATTATTTACATACTGAATTGTCGACGGATTTTTCCGTTACTTCCCGATCATGACAAGGAGAACACGGCGGGTGTGGCCTTTCGACAGAGGATGCTCACTCCTCCATGGCACCTGACCCCGCCTCTGATGTTTGGAGGCCCGTGTTTGCTCTGCTCCTTTTTTCTGTATTGTTTAATGGACTTTTGAGCTTGAATGCTGTTCGTTATCTCCATATATTTCATTAAGAAAGACTGGGTCTATGTACTTTCTAAACTTCAAACGAAAATATGATAAAACATAATGTATAAAAAAATAATTTTCACTTGATACTCATTGCGACCAATAACAATCCTTATATGTGATACTCTTTTCATATAAAATAACCTTTATATATGCTTGTTCTAAAGACACCAAAAATATAACATGGGTCCTAAAAACACCAGTATTTTTATTTTAAAGATCTTTTTATTTAAATAAATTAAAATAGCGCAGAATTCACAAAGAAATAAAAAACATCAAAGGTCATTTATAAAGATGAAAACGTAAATTTAAGCTAAGAAATTAGAAACAAGATGTGTTTGTGAAACACTGATGTCCCCGTATGAGAGCTTTTGGCGAAAGTCGAAGGATGAAAAATGTTGTAACACAAAGAAATGACTTATGTCAACGAAGACACCTGTAAAATATGAAAACCGGAGCACTAACAATTCAAAAGTTCTGGCCAAAGTTAAAGTTTTTTTTTTAAATGCTGATCATGTTCAAGTTCAAGGTCAAAGAGCTAAATTAAAGGTACCCAGGGGAAGGCCTTGTCATAAGAAATACACATGTGAAAAAATAAAGCCGTATCACAAGCTGTTCAAAAGTTATGGCTAAGGTTAAAGTTTCTCAAAGTAAGTCAAACTCCAAGGTCAAGATCAAAAGGTCCAAATTATTGGTATCCGAAGAAAGGTCTTGTCACATGGAATACACCTGTAAAATATAAAGGCCCTAGTATTTTCTGCTCAAAAGTTATGTCCAATGTTAAAGTTTTATAAAAGTGGGTCAAACGCAAAGATCTAGGTCAAAAGGTTAATAATATCTATATCCATGGAAAGAACTTGCCACAATAAATATATACTTAAAGAATGAAAGCCCTAACACCAACAGTCAAAAAGTTATGGCCTATGTTAAACTTGGGTAAATTCATGCAAAATTGAGTCACACTCCAAGGTCAAGGTCAAGAGGTCAAATATGTTGGTACCTAATGAAAGGCCTTGTCACAAGAAATACACATGTAAAGTATGAGAGCCATAGCTCTACCCAATCAGGAGTTATGGGCAATGTTAAAGTTTTTGCGGATAAACAGACAAACAGATAAACAGACAAACAGACAGATGAACGGACAGGGCAAATACTATATACCCCCCGAATCTTCGATAACGGGGGCATGAAAATCACCCTTTCCAAAGTAAAATGTTTGCAGCAATTTTGCCGCTATATTGCGGCAATATTGCAGCAACACATTTTTGTCACAAGAAATAAGGTTTCTTGGTTAGTGTAATATTGCCGCTAACTTCTGCTAACATTCTGTCGATACTGCCAGAAAAAAAAAATTTCTGGCAACATCTAGGATTAAAAAATTACCCATTAGGCATTTGTTGAGCATGCTCAATCATTTACATCCCCTGTTTAAATAAAGTTGGAGGGAATTCAAAGGCAAGAATGTTTTGTTTTATTATTGACTTGTATCAAGTATATTGGAGTTGTTAAGTGTGTAAAATAGGATCAGACAAGATGATCTAGTAAGATTGAATAATCTGGAGTGGCCAGAAAAAGAATTTCAGCAATTTCCA